TAAAAGAAAGGTGAGTTTCCGCACACGCTCATGAGAGCGCACAGAGGCCCAATGATGGCCACTTCAACACAGTCTCCTTCCATCTCCAGAGACAGGAAATAAAAGGTTGCACTCATAGTCAAAAAGTATATTTTAAATATGCTTCCAGGTTTCTTGTTTCCATGAGTATGAAAGTTAAATGAAAATATCTTTATACAATGTTCTAGGAGGTAACTACAAACAGGGACCTTAAAAGCAAACTTCTATTACAGAAGATAAAAGAAGCGCAATTATATTTCCCTTCAATGATCATTTATTAGATGCCTACTATTTACAAAGCACTACACCAGGGCTGTAGGGTAGGGGCAAGGCACGACCAGATGCCTGGATTCTAAAGAAAGAGCATGACCACACTTTTCCAGAGCAGGCTGAAAGCAGTATCTGTCTCCTGAAGTCTACTCTAAAAACTAAATGAAATGTTCTCCAAATTGCTCTAGAAGCTGAATGAAACTGCACTATCTTTCTAACCTGGCCACCCTAGAAACTTGTGAGGGACTTCACTTGCCATTAAACACAGTGAGGATTGTGGAAGAATTGTGGCAAACCTGGAACTAATATTATATTCTCTGGGGCCTTTTTTTTCTTTATAACATATATTATGACAATTTAACATGTTAAACCATCATGTTAGGTTAGAGGAAATATCCAATGAATTAAAATATCTACTGATAATTTGTGTGGTTCTAAGAGCTTAATTTGTTTATATTCTTTACTATTTTTTAAAAATTTGATTTTAAAATTCTCTGAAAAAGCTAATTCATTTCCAAATTTATTCCCAAATTAATAAACTGATTTGGATGTAGATATTCAAAGATCATATTTAATGTCAGAATTTTAGAGGTTTTCTTCATTCAGTTCTTTATGATTTTGATGATTTTTGATAATTCAGAGCAATTTGTGTCTTTCCTTTTTATATCACAATAAGACCACTAATGTATTCCTTCATATAATTTCTGAAAGCTTCACTACAACATGAGAGGTATTTTATTAATAGATAACACCAATTTATAATAAGGTCTTTTCAATGTTTTAGTAATTAAATGTTTCACACAAAATATAGCTATCCTGTAACATAAAATGGTCTCCAATAAATTGTATAACTCTTAAGTCCACTATTTCTATATGCCCTAATAGAAAATAGAAAATTATTTTCCAGTAGTATTATCTACAGATGAAAATGAAGTTTTAGAAACAGTGCAGAAAATTCCAATTTAAATCAAATGGATCAGATTGATATTTCCTTAACAAGATTAGAATGTCAAATAAACATCTGTATTAAATTTTAAGAGTTATTCATTACATTGTATATCATGTTTATATGAGAAGGAGCATGGTCTAATGTTTTGGGGTATAGGTCTGAGGATCAACCTCTAAGAACTAAAGCTCTAGATATACCAATAACAGTATACTTTTTGTGCCTTGATTTTCTTATCTAAAATAGAGATAAGCACATTGACCTAACTCTAAGTAAATTATTTTTTACAATTAGTTAAGATTATTCAAAGACAGTTAAACAATATAGGTTAAAATTTACTTGTCCCTTGTGATGAATATTCTAATGCATGTAACTTTTTCAGATGTCAATTCTAACTTGCTTTCATCTGTAGGACTTAGTTTATAATTGTTTAACTTAATTTCATATGAAGACAGAATTCCTAAAATTTATTATAATTCTAATTACTTGCTTAATTTTCTAATAAGTGGCTTATCCTATTTATTTCTGAAATATTTCTGAAAAGTAACAATTCTCCAAATTACTTTTTTAAAATGTTAATGTTGATAAATATTAAAATGAGCAGTAATCCCTTAGAAATAGAACACTTTAAATTATTATGTAATAGAAACTAAATTTGTGTATATATTTAAAACGGAAGGTAGTGCATTTTTATAAATTAAAATGAACTCATTTGAGATTTCAAATGATATAAATAATTCAACTGGTTTTTTTCCCACCCTTATAAAAATACAATAACACTAACTTTAATTGGAACTGTTACTTAGCCCTAAAAATTTCTTTTTTAAATTTCAAAACACTCAAACTACAGATGTTTGAAGGTGTCTATTTGGCATAGCCACTAAAAAAGTAAAGTCACAATCTATTCATACACAAAAACTACAAAAGTATATTTTTAATGGATCTCCTGCCTTTAAAAGTTATTCCATGTAATAATAATCAATACCATTAAAATCACTCCCAATAAAATATGTTTTTTTTCTTTTAATGATCCAAATCTATACTGAAATGATGAAATTGAAAAACAAGTGTTCTTGTCAGAAGACAGGAAGAAAGTTTTTTCTCCTCCCTTAAGGAAAACAAAGGATTCCTGAAAGCCTTGCCCTGATTTATTTTTCCAATTTTAAATACCTTAAGAATAGCGGAACTGCTACTGGCATGGTAGTATTTCTCGCAGTCAATAAATCTAAAATATTATGTGTGAATATTGGAATGAAGCCATTAAGAAGATTACAGCATGCAACGCAGCAGAGGGTCCGCAGGAAGAAAGCAGCAGTAATTCAGGACAACTGTGACCACTGACCTGTGGGCAGCAAGGCCAGTGGTCAGGCTGACAGGGTAATGGAGTGCACATGCACAGACAGCCCTCCAGCCCATACGTGTAATTCAAACGCTTTCGTGGACGATTCTAAAAGTCCCCCATTTCAATCTCAGCTAACTTATTAAACAAACAATACCAACAGTAATATTTTTCAGGTTAAAAGTATATTGATTCAAATCACGAATAAAAAATTTCGGTAAGATCATCTGTGATTTTAACACAGGTCATCTAAAATATTTATAATTGTAAAAATATGGTGTGATATTTCATCGTATTTCCTCTAGAATTATAAGAGATAGCTTTGGAAAACTGAGTAAAAAGCTAAATTTACTAGAGATGCTTTAAACAATCACCCAAAATTTTTAGAAAATTACTATAACTTTAAAACATCTCATAACTTCAGTCAATAGTCTTAGCTCCATCTCAGAGCTATTTTGATTTCTGCCATCTTCAAATTTGTAAGTACAAGCATATATTTATTTAATCAATCTGTACTACTTTTCAGTGTTCCTTTTTAATCTACATTTTTAATATTTCAGTTATGTTTAGTTATACTGTTGCTTATGAGTAAACTATAAGATGTTCACTTTTGTCATCTCATATAGACTTCTATATTATATATTTAACTTCTCCATATATATTTAAATAAATGTTTTAATTATCAAACTAATTCTACTAGAAAGTAGTACTTCCCAATTAAAAAAGAATCAAGAATCACCCATCAAAAAATGAAATTTCAAAGATTGTTTTTCCTCAAGGAATCATGTATCATTGAAGCTGACTATAAAAATTTTAATATCATATACAGAAAAGCTGAATTTCTTTTTTTTCTTTAACAGTTTTTTCTCCATAAGAATTAACAGTGGGAAATACATGCACATAAGGAAAACATTCTTAAAAGCTGAGATTCTACTTTCATAATTATTTCTCTATCCAGTTAAGGATACTTTGATGGACTTTTAAATTAATAACTATAATCATTTCTAGCAGTTTCTGCAAAATTTTATAATGAGGCAATGTAGTTATAATGAGTTAAAAAGAGAATTTTTCACTGGCCTTTAGTGAACAATTTAGATTTGTTTATATGTAGGATCAATTTTACTATAGAAGAATACAGTAGTTCAATTTGAATGTGCCTCAAAGTCGGCAAGTATTTTAGGTTATTTATGGGCATTAATAATTTGATTTTGACTTTCAAATCATATTTTTGCTATCACTAGCCATAAGAACAATCAAGGCTAGTTAGTATTACTGTATTTTTTGAGTTTATGATTTTTAAGTTCACTTCCTCGAACTCCTTAATAATGGATTTCAAACTACTTGCAATATTACAGAAAAATATATTCTGATTGTTTTTTATCCCCAAATTTTAATATCCTTGAAAAGAATGAATGCTTTGATTTATTAAAAGGGAAGTTATTTTAACTGAACTATGTTATAAAGATATTTTTTAAAAGCCATTAAAATATACACAGAAACAGTACTAGTTTGCATTTTTACCCTGTACTAAGGAATATGCAGGCCCAAAAATGCACTTTTTGGAGACTATTTAACATGAAATACAGAATATGTCCCATTATAAGCTGCAGACACACACGCACACACACATAACCCTCTGCAAGATCAAAGACCAGAAGAGAACTGGCACTTAATTTATCAGCCTTTACAGACAAAAGACAGTTTTCGTCATTTCAAAAGGATCAGATGTCTTTTATGACAAACTGGGTTTGCAGTTTAATTTACAAATAGAATTCTAAGCAAGCAGTCTTTGCTTTGCCAAAGCAAATGACAAACAGTGTGGGTTTTCATTCTCGCGGCCCTCAGCAGGATAGAAAAGATTAAAATAAAACTGAAATAATTTAGAGAAAACAAATAAATGTTTCAGAAAGTTGAGGGAGATCAAAGCCGGAATTTTCTGACCCCAACTGTACAAGCATTTCTTATTATATTGACCAGTAACATCAGATCATTAATTAAAAGGAAAAGCGCTGGCAGGTGGCAGGGAAGCGAGAGCCGGTAATTGGCCCCCTTCTTCCTCTTCCTTCAGAAACTCTCTCATTCTTCTGCAAGACATGCCACCAGGCAGACAGAAATGCCTACTTTGTAATATAATGATTAAGACGAGATGAAGAGACTCGCGTTTAAAGGAACTCTGCCTAATGAATGCATCTAGCTTTTTAATTATGACCCCACTTTTACAATAAGGAATATGATGTTCCACTCAGTATCTCAACTGCCAAAAGGTAAAAATATTAAATACAGAATCTGCATCAATTCCTCTCATACCCATGGCACATACCCAACCCCTTTTATTTCAGACAGTAAAAAGTGGGGAAAATAACTCTTCATAATTCCTGGGTCTAGGAGAAAACATGTATGTTCATCACAAAATATCCTCAGACTTACCACATCACTGGGTAGGTTGTACAAGTCGTTAAACGGTGACTCTAAAGTGTTTGTATCAACATTTAACATGACCACATCTTCTAATGATTTGTTTTTCACTCTCTGTTTAAAAAACACAATTACAAATAAAAATCTTAGTACTCTTTTCCTACAAAATTATGATGCACTTGGAAACACATTTTAAAATTATCTTAATGTATTAGGCTTGGGAAAATAAAAAAGGAAAATCTTGCATTATAAAAGAACATAAACAATTTTGCCTTCTGAGAAAGGCAGTCTGAATACAACCCATTCAAAAGGATTTGGTAAAAATGCTTATAATACAACATTTGCTCATCTAACATTAAACATAACTACCAAAGAGATATCTCAACAAAGACTTATCAAATAGGCAAAAATTACATCAAATTGTAAAAAATTACATCTTTTAAAATTTATCAATTCAATTTCAGTCCCATGATGCAGGAATTTGTAGCCAGCTCTGTATCTATTTTTAGCATAAAATATATTGCAGGGATAACATAAACCTACCTAACCTGTAGTTACTACCATAGTTAACTACAACTATGGTACTAAACTGCATTTTAAATTAATAAATATTCTCTCTATATTTCTATACCTATAGGTATTTGTTGATGATGAGGACTGAAAGTTGAATAAGAAAATAAGAGAGAGGATACTAATATGGAATTCATTGTTAGTAACACTTTTCACATGAATTTCAATATAAAGAATCACATTTAATTGCCTATCAGATTGACTATCTTGACTTGTCTTTTCTGTTTAAAAAAGCTTAGTCAAAATAGTCAAATTATCTCAATATTTCCACAAATGATAACACTAGAATTCTATCAAATGTTTTCATTTCAAAATATTAAAGGGGTACAAATGTTTTTGTTAATGGATACCTTTTATAATGTTTTAAGTCGGGGCTTTTAGTGTGTGCCCATCACCCAAATAGTGTTTATTGTACCCGACAGCTAAGTTTTCTACCCCTCTCCTCTCTTCCTCCCTCACCCCTTCTATCAAATTTTTCATCCTTAAATAAAGTAAATATTTATGGTTCATTTTTCCTACTTACACTATTATGTATACTTAAAAAGTCATATAATTCTATTAGTCTTACATAAATTATAGCAAATAGTATTAATCCTCATTGATAAACAAGGTGTTCATTAATATATTCATGAACTCAGAATTTCTTAACTGTATAGGTCAACTAGCAATAGGTTAATAATTTTAGTATAGTATTTTTAAAGTTATGTTTTATGATGATAGTCATTTTTGAAAATTATTACTTAAATACCTTGAATTTTAAATTGGCTAAATTGATTATTTTGTTTTAAGTTAAGTTAGCATGATTGAACTTTCTCTGATCCATTTAGAATTTCAAATCTCTGCATATTAAGCAGAATGTTAAGTTTGCTAGGGTAATATTAGTCTAGGGTAGGAAATTTCTATGTTAAGAAAACCATAATATCTATGTAGAGTGTGGATTCTCAGGGGACATATGATTATAAAACCACACCTTGTAAAAGATATTATAATTATTCTAAAGACTAAGATAGTCTTAGATATTAGCCATCTTAGATATTAATTGTAAGATATTAGCAGCAAATCACTAATGATGACACTATTAATACTACAAAAACTCATTTCTCTTCCTTTCCATCTATATACAGATATATAAGAAGTTTTAAATACATAGATATGTGGTTATTCAAAGATTAACTATAGTATAACTATAATAACCTATTTTATAAACAAAAATATAATCAATGACATTTATGTGGAAAAAATATGTCATAATTTTGATTTCATCTTCATTTTTAAGTTGTCTTTATGATAGAAATTGTAAAGATAATCTAGAAACCTAATATATTTTTTAACGGATGAGTTAGTCTATAAATAGCCTAGGATAGCTATGTGCCCTCAAAATGTTTTGTGATGACATTAACACCAAACTCTGAATAAAGGAAATTGGTATTAATATAACATGTATACTTTTTTCAAAATTGCTTTTAGTTTTAAAAAGTCTAATAATAGCTGAACATTAAATTCAGTTCAAGAGACCACTCAATAAGAGCAGAAAATCACATTCATTCCAAATCAATAAACTACAGTCCCTCAAGTGAGAATTCCACATAAGCAAAATATATATAATTTAATTTTTTTAAATATTTGGATTACTATCAATATTTTATCTATTTTTTCCTCTCCAAATCAGACTTTTGCAATTTTTTCCTAAATGGGCATGGGAAGTCATATATGGTATATAAGACTGTGCCTCTTTCTCTGTCTCATATTGTCTCATAAAATTATAAGATATAACATTAAGAGAAAATACAAAAAATGAATTTACCTATTTATTCAAAAATAAGATAATATGGGACATAGACCAGAAGGCTTATTAAGAACAGCAGTAAAGTGTTTGAGGACACCAGTGATACCTAACCCTTCCACACCGTGTGGCCACAAATGTACACGATGCACATCAATGTGAAGAAATGACAGTGCCTGCAATCGCATGATCTTACGAAACTGGTTCAACATTTCATTTAGAATCCTTTGTGTGTTAAAACAAATAGGATAACCCTCACAATTGTAGCCTCTATTAATTTATTCCTAATGACTGACAAGCCCTAATCTGCCTTGAGTTCATCCCTGTAGTATATATAGTTTTCAAAGGAAAACAAAATGTTTTTATCCTTGATTTTAGAATAAAATTTTTATTTTACAAAGAGATTTATGGCCATCTTTTACTCATAATTTCATAAAAATAAATGAAAGAAAGATATAAAAAAACATTAATTTCATGTCTTTGAACAACTATGTTTAGAAGTTGTTATAAACCTAATAACATGTGTTGAAACTGTCTTGGCCAATAGAGATGAAATAAGAGAATATTTTGACTATTATGACAGGAAAAAATTGGTTGTAACTGCCAAACAAAATGCAAAAAATTACTCAGCTAAGTCTTGCATATTAAATATGTAAATAACCATATTGGTATTTTAATTATAAGACAATTTTTTTATAAAATAGAAAAGCCCAAAAGATAGATATTTTAGTGGGAAAAAACTTTCTGATAATGACTTAATAAGACTGAAATTGCAGGATATACATCACCTTGTAAAAGATTAAAAAGAAAGTTAATAAATGGTACCCAACGGGTTTAAAGAATTCCGGAGGTTCCCAGTATACCTTTTCATTTACTCAAATAAACAATATAAAGCTGACTATTAAGACCCTCAAACAAGCCCTGAGTATAAAAAAATACAGAGATGTCAGCCAACCTAATCATGGTTGTAAATGTTTTCACTTAATAATAGGAGCCATTTAAAGTTAACAGACTATTTCTCCAAGACAACACTTGCAATAAGTAAGTAATTCTTAAATTTGCTCCTTAAAAAGAGTACTGGATTTCTCTATAAGTGTCCAATAAATATGTGATAAATTTAATTGAATCCTTAAAAACATATACCACTTTCTATATTATTTTGGAAAAACTGAATCATTTGTTTTAAAAGTTGATGTAGAATCATTATGCAAAAAAATTACAACATCAACAGGTAACTAACAATTTCAAATATTTTTCATCTCTATAAATATATTGTAAAAGTTACATATCGTATTAGATACATTAAATAAGGAGAGAAATATATACTAACACAAAAATCCAATTTGACAGCTCTTTTTAAAGAATCCAACTATGGTCAGAGTTTGAATAAAGTTACAATACTGATGAATAAAATGCCAGCCATATATTCCATGATCTAATAACAGATTAAATACCTATTCATTCATGTTTTATTTCATTTAATTTGTCCTTTCACTATAAGTGCCTTGACATAAGAACAAGTTTTCTAAAAATGAATAAAATATAGAGTCATAAAGTTATCCAGCCCAGACTTCAATATTAAAAACCTACTAAAGAAATCCATCAAAATGTACAGTTTTAAATATTGAAACAAAAAATGTTGCCCTAGCATTTTGCAAAAAGAAAACAATGCCCAAAGATGGAGCACAGGTAGAATTCCATAACCCAGGCCTCCGACAGGGGGTGACTCTCTCCCAGTATGATCCTCGGGAGTTTTAAAACGCATCAACAGATTTTTCTTTGATCAAAGTAAGGACTAAGGGTATCTACAACTAATAAGAAAACCAAGCATGATTCATTAAGGTTGCTCATTAGAAATTGGGTTAAAGTGAAAACTGCACAATCAGCAAAAAGAGAAATTTATTTGAATGAAACTGAAATCATCCAGCATAATGATGTCACTCGATTGACCCAAGTCTTCTGTTTTAATCCAAGCCTTTTGTTTATTATTTTACATGCTAACATTATAAGAATCTTCTGTGAAATCTCACAGATTTTAAGTTCAAGGTGTTTAAAATTCAAGGTGTTTCACTATAGGGACAACTGAAATGATAAAAATCATTCTGGAATGATGTGGTAAAGGGGATAAACGTTGCTAAATTTTACATCCCCCAACAGGACTGAAAATTAACGCTTATTTAAAAACCTATATTCTAATTTAAAAGTTCACAATTAGTACATTAAAACCACATTTTGTAAAAGCATACTGATAAACTGAAACATAACAAAGTTTGTAAAATAAAAATGTTTCAGTTTATGACTCATAAGTATGTAAATTTTGACTTTCAAAATATAGGTCTGAAGAAGAGATATAAATGAGCAAGTTGCCATAAAAAAAAAGTGGTTCATCACATACTAAAATTTTCAATATTTAAAACTTACCATATAACATCTACCAAATATAACCTATTTCCATGGTTTCCTGCTATTGAAAACGGTCATTTAGTATACTAATTTAAATGAAATAATTTTAATGTTACCTTTTTAAAAATGAACATTTGAGTATAATCCAAATATAAAACTAATCGTTGCTTTGTACTATTCAATTGATATTCCTTCAAAGCAAAATTGTTTCAAGTACTATTTTTATTAATTGTATCACTATCCCATGTCTGAAAGATACTCACCTCTATGAGGCTGGAGTGTATTCCAATCAGGTATGGCATTGGGGCACTAAATTAAAAATATATATATGCATAGATTCATATAGGTGATTAAAAATGAAACAACAATATAAGTAATTCAGAATGTTTAAAAATATAAATGTATTAAATGCTCAGTTCTAGCATAACACATTATAGATATTCAAAATTATTTAACATATAAAACTCAAATTTAATCTTAGAGGCCATTAATATATTTAAATTAAGGTTGGTTTATATAAAAGTCACAAAATCATTTATAATCAAATCAACAGCTGCAATACCTAAAAAAACTTTTTCATTTAAGGAGAGTATCAGGGTCTGGGCCATACTCTTGAGTTGAATTTCTTCCATCTACCTCATAGCAAATATATACTAAATAATCATCACATTTATTTACATTTCTTTTGTACATCTTTTCCTATTCAATTAAATTCTTACTTCTATGTTATTTTTTAATATGTCTCCATTGCTTCATGCCTACTAAGCCCCAACATTTATGAGGCCAGTCAGCAAAGACAGCTCGAGACTTGCTGTGCGTCTAGCACAGCTCTGGAGCTAGAGGAGCAAAAACAAACAAGGTCCTCACCTACTGTGCCATCTCTCCCTTCAAGTACCTTGTCTTTTATTTAAATTTTATAAATTCAGGTATATCCAAATTTTACTTTTATTAATAAAATAATTTCAATAAATTTTAAAATAGTTAAATGTGAGAATGATTTTGAATTAACTGAACACATGATATCTGGAGCATACCAAGTGCCAGGCCATGAGGTAGAAGTTTGGGAACAATAATCAACATAGAAACAGAATATATTCCCTTATGGACCCTATACTCTAGCAGAGAAGACACATATTAAATAATTTTAAATACATAAAATCAGAATTACTAGTTATTTCAGAAATACCTCTCATGAAATACATGAAGGAAGTTATTCAATTTGACATTTCAAAACTAAAATATCATCTAACATGAAAACATGAGAATGGACAGATGTCTACCAAGGTGATAAAAAGATATGTGAATAAATAGCTATTTTAAAACAAAACATTCTGGACAATTCTTTTATAGACATCTTTGTGCTCTATTAATGCAAATTTTTCTATTAATGCAAACAGATAATCCTCTTTCTCAAAGGATTTGCATAATTTTCTAAACATCATTGTCATTATTACAACAAAGCTGCCCAAACTGTGTGTTCACTTTGCTACTGAGAACCAGTAATAGATAAAACTAGCAGGCACCCTGACAGACCCAGAGATTTCAAAGTAACCTCAAACAGCTCCAAATTTAAGGATGGCTAAACACTAATCTATATAGCCAGACTTCACAAAAGAAGTGTTAAATTCTTATTTTACTCCTCGTTAGCCTGTGCATTCTAGTTCATTACCTCTTCTACTAGATTCTAATTCCCAGTTGTCTTTGCCTTTAGTAGCTTTGTTCCTCCCTACTTTTTTTTTTTTTTATAATTTTTATGCAACAGACCATCTGGAATTGATCTGATATTCTGGATACTTCACTTGACTGAAAGTTGAGAACTATTTATAGGCCTTGATATCTTTAAGACCCAACAGATTTTCTGCCTTCAAAAGGAAACGGGGGGACAAATGTGGACTGTTCCACTTTTGCTTAAACGAGGGAAGGCCAGTCACATCCCCAGCTCAAGTTCTCATCCCTGGAATTCCTCCTGGGACCCCACAGAAGACATAAAATGCACATCACCAACCACTCTGGGCTTTCCATGACCTGGGTTTGGGCAACTTTGACTAAACAAGCCAGGCAACTCCCAAGATCTTTACTGCATCAAGCCCTCCACATGTACAAAATGGCATTAAATTATTAAAGTCACTATGCAAACTTCCAATTTGCCCCAGGTTAGGTTACCCTACCCACAAGATTTATAATATTTGAAGAGTCCGTGGTATCTCAGGTTTCAAAGTATATTTTAATAAAAGAGTGTTAAACAAAACATAAGCCTTCTAGAAACAATCCCTATGGCCATTTTACAAATGTTGAAGGGATACTGAGTAGATAAGAATTTCATAAAATCAGAGACAAAAGTGCTAAATAACCTGTTGAAATACTATGAAATACATCTAGGAAAACATTTTTAAAATTTTATGAAAGCTACTAACCTTTAGAAGTATAAACAATAAATTTATAAAAATTATTAAGCTAAAATAAAAAGTTCAATAAAAAGCTCCTACATAGAAGTTAATAATACAGTAACTTGAAACTTTTAAAAATATTATCACTGGGTATCATCCACATATTTTCTTCTAATTTCTAACAAAATCCAAAACATGACAGATAAGAGAATGGGTAATCATTATTAATCTGAAGCCTAATTTCCTAAAATAATTATGTTTTACAGAATACAGAATTAATTGAATAGTTGTTTCTTTCTCACAAAAATGGATTATAATCCTAATATGAAATCAGCTAGATCTAACAAAAAGTGATTTTGCAACCCTAGCTGAAATTTCCTAATTAGATTAGGGCATTAGTAAGAAAGAGCTTCTTGGCAATACAACACGTTTTAACATCCATGTGCAAAACTGTTCTAGAACCTTCTGTCAATGAAGTTATTCTGCAAAGACAGGATACAGAAGGCTCCATTATTTCTGCTGCTTTTTGTTAGCAAATTCTTCTCTACTCAAAAATAGGTTTTTTTTTTTTTTTTAGGTTTTCTTACAAAGAGACCATCCACGACATAGACTATAACAGCAGTCTCCTAGAGTAGTCTAAAGGACATAGCTTTTATTTATTTTTTTAAAAACTATTTGCTCAGAAGCTAAATCTGCTCCTTCCACAGGAGAGTCAGATGGAGAGCCTAAACAAAAAGAGCTACCCAAACATTCCCTGAAAACATAACAAACGATCATGACCGTAAGGTCCTCGAGTCACCCCCCTCCTGCGTGCTCATGGACTCAGACAGGTTGGGGGCGCCTGGTGACGCCACAGACTCCCCACATTCGGGCTCTTGTGTCAGCTGGCTAAGGGGGCAGTGGATGGTGTGGCTTCTCCCAGGAGCCTCCCCAACTTGCCGCAGCGTGGGCCACTCCTTCCTTTGCACTCGCGTACACGGTCTCTCGTACGCCTCTGCCGGAGCACTCAGAGTGTTTCAGCATCATGCTTTGCTGTGTGTGTGTGTGTGTGTGTGTGTGTGTGTGTGCATATGCACACGTGTACGTATGTGTAGATTTCTTCCTGTCTGTAAATCTCACAAGGACAGATACCAAGTCTTACTCATCGCGTTACATATTCACAGCTTGGTAAATAGGTGTTCACTAAATGTTTAATGAACACATGAATGAACGAATGACCCAACAGAGTCACAGGGCTTTTGCAGCAGATCAAGATGCGCTATTCGCCCGTGGTCACCAGATGGCACCGTGGCCCTCCACAGCCCATGCCACGGCAGAGCTACAGGTTCAAAACAGAGAGACTTTGTGGAGGCAGGGTTAACTCAGGACTCAGCAGGTCTCAATCCCGTCAAAGAGTTAGCAAAGATGTATCTACTCCTATCAAATCTTCCTGGTGCTATTTTTGAACTGGCATATAAAAATTACTTATTCAAAGCCCATGAGATTGAAGGGATAATCTGTACCATTTTTCTCCCTTTTGCATATAGATCAGTGTGATTCTAACCTCAAGGATGCAGAGGGAAGAATATCATTTTTCCTAGGAAACAGTTTAATCCATCAATTTTTTTGACAATGAAAGAGAGCCAGAGTTTTAGCTATTCTAAAAAGAATCATATTGAGTATACTATGGTATTATACTTCCTATGGTAGAAGCTGAGCCTATCACTGTGGCCTAAAGGATGAGGGAGTTTCAGACGCTCCTTGTTTGAGCGCCACTGCTCTGCTCTCTGGGCCAGGGAAGTGTCTGGCATGGAGACTGTCAGAAATCATCCTAAAGGCTATTTTAGATGTTAAAACTAGAAAGAAAATTCCAGGAATTGAAATACGAAACAAGCTTCCTTCATTATAGTGGAAGCAGCAGAGAAAGAAGAATCTGACAGCAGGGATAGTATCAGAAAGACAGCTCTGGAAAGGATTAGCACAGAACTGCCTGTGTCATAGAATAGATTCTAAATAACATTTTAGAAAGCCTTAAATGTGTAATTCATTACACAGAAATGAACTTAAAGGTGTGTTACCTGTTAAGAGGTCAGAACATCTTAATAGGAAAATTAAGATGTCATGAACAGTATATATGATAAAATATAATTCTAAACCTCATAATTAGAAGTGTTAGTTCTTGAACCATTAACTTGACATACTTTTAAAAATCATATCAATATATTTTCAAATGCTTTCATAAAAAATATTTTTGAAATAAATCAGTTTTAATTACTGAAATCTATGTGCAAAGATCTACCACATATGCCAACATAAACAGACTGCAGTCCCTGCCTTCAAGAATGCTAAAATACTATAGGTATGTTCATCAAAGAAAAACTCTAAAATGAATAAAAGAACCTATTTATGGATTTAGCTTTACTCTTAGAGTAAATGCCTCACGATAAAATTAAACTGCATTCCTATAGTGTCCTGCAAAACTGTTTCCTAGTTATTAAACAGCAGAACACAGTAGTGGTAGGACACCAGCATTATGAATACTAATAATAGTAGTACCATGCTGTGGAAATACACAATACATTAGTATAATCAATATGTGGCCAAACACGTGTTGTCATTACAATCACCTGTTCTGAGGAGGGCCAGTCATAAAAACTTAAAAGAAAACCTGTATGTACAAACTTAAATCATTTTAATCCTTAAATACTTTCTGCCTTTAATAGAAAGTGAAATAAATACATTTATTCTAAAAGAGTTTTGTTTTTTAATAACATTAGCTGTGATATAAACAAACACATTACAGTCAAAATTATTTCCTTCTATGTATGTGTGGACATGCATGGTTTAGAGGAAAAATCCTGTCACATTTCTTAAGAATTAAGCTACACCTGCAGAAAATGATTATGCAATGAAGACACCGTTTTACCCCCCCGTCCTGAAAAAAGCCCTAAAGCTGCTGCTCAGGCAGCATAATCTTGTCCAGCCTCACTGTAAGTGTGCAGACTCTTTCAGGGGAAGAGGACAAGGAGGTTCCAGAGGCCTGGCTGAATTCAGATTGGGTTGGATCACTGAGAGTTGTTTCTAGTACTGGGAAGCTCTTTAGAATTACTCCCAACTCTTTTCAACATGACTTTTCACAGTGGCTTAAGGCTGAGACTTTGAATCAAACCTGAGACTGGAGAATTCTTGTATTAAAGGCCGCCTGTTTGCTGGCACGTGGTACTTGGGGGCTACTGAGGAAAGAGAGGCAGAGGGAGGCGTGCCCTGACCGAGACAACGTGCTTCCTGGCAGACAAAGTCTGACCTTCTCTAACCAATGCCATAACTTCCGCACTATTTTCCTAGCCACAACCTGATTGTATCTATTTATGCACTTAGTCATCTAAATGACTGCAAAAGAAATTCACAAAATCCAAAGAACTTCATGTTTGCCAAGTATAAATTTTTGCTGCCTCTGAGAAGAATTATTCTGTCGTTCATAAAAATCACTCCTTAGCACTTATTTCTAGTCATTAGGTTTCCATCGTTCCTTTCATGCAGACCGCAAGTTTACCTACTCTACAAACAAACGCACTTGTTTCCCAACGGTGAAGCCTGGGCGTGGAGGCCTGGCGAGGCGGCTTACCAGCAGTAGTCCAGCAGGTGGGGAGGGAGCACGGGGATGTAGATGTGCTGCCAGTACATCGGGTACAGCAGAGCCGCCGATCCGTGCAGACACGCGGTTAACTGAAATCGGCAAAAGGATAGCAAAAGTAAGTAGCCGCTGACCCTCCAAAAAAGGGGGGGGAGGGGCACATTCAAGGTATCAGAGATGAACAATAATCATGAAACAATTCATGTAATGACAGAGATCACATTGTCTTTATCAATTCCACGTGTAAAAGGGCTTATGTCTCAGAGGCCCCTCGGAAAAATACATAAACAGCACAAGTAGCTCCTTGGGAATCATATGCAGATCGTGATGATCACCTGAAAAGACAGTTTGGGTCAAAACCTAATGCACGAACAGAAGTAAAACTGAAGCATTAGGTGAGCATCTTAGAAATACTGCAGGAAATCACAATTTGTACGGCGCGGTTTGCGCATCGCTCAGATTAATACGACACGATTAAATATGGAGAGGAAGAGCGGCTGAAAGCTCCTGAGGGATATCATTAGGGCAAATTGCCAAAGAATGAAACATGAGCCAGTCAGGAGCGTCTGGAAGCTGCAGTGATACCAGGGGAGCCGAGCGCTCGACAGTTGGAGCTTCAGCAACGTGTGAACCGCGGGTCACGGTACCAAGAGACTCTGCTCACTGACACGCAGGATGTCACCATTGACCAGCGAACCGCCCAAGCTTGACAGCTGTATCCAGGAAGCCAAGGATATCATAATTTCATGTTTAAACTGCTCATTCCAGATTAACATTTTGTTTCTTAGCTTTCTATCACAACAGCTGCAATTACATTATTGCTATTTTAAAGGTAATTGCCATTTTAATTGTTTTGTTTTGGCAAGCGGTTAAACGCTCAACAAAAGGAATATCACTTTTTTTCTCCCTCCTACTAACCCTCATCAGAATTGTTTCCATGTGACTTTGTCTCCATTTTAAATTTTATTTCTGTGGGTGTAACATCATTTTTTAGTGTTTAAAGCGATAGTTAAATCGGCATTCTTCATCATTTTAAAGTTTTGTTATGGTCTGTATTTCAAGGTTACCAACTAAATCATTTAATTCAACTTGAAAATCAAAATTTTGAAAATAAACTATCTGACAGTGAACCACAGATTCTATTAACCATTATCTCTATTATTATACAAATAAATTAAAACACTGTAATAATTAATTTAAAAGAATAAAGGCACACAAAGCAATCCATAGCTTACTAATAGCAATATTTGTCTATGTTTAAAAGTGCAAAATAGTTCCATTAAATAAAAAAATCAATTAAAATAATCTGATCTGAAAAAGATACAAATTTTCATTGAAAATACACTTGTCTTTGTCATAGACATTATATTGTTTTAAGTCACATTACTAATCAATTTTATATGGCAAACAATATATTTTGATTTCACTCAGGATGTTACCATGTTAGGGTTTCAGTACTTTGCCCTTACAAGCCTTAATAGTTTGTCCTAGTATCCCTTCTATAAATATTTTTTAAATTTCTTAATTGGAGCATACAATGTGCCACTAGGAGGCATTCAAATACCTCTATTTAACAATTACAGACCATAAATTTATATACTCACTAACTTGAACTAGAGGGAAATGAAAATGGGGTTGATCTAACTCATTGTGTCAAATTCTCCAAAGAGCTCTTAGGTACCCAGGTTGTAAATTAGGTCTCCTTAGAGCTTGTTAACTCTTTCCTCCCCTTCCGTGTAACCTGGTGGGCTAAAGAGCTTTTGCAGCTTTGAAAGGCAGCTAATTACTCGATTTCTCCATCTGCACACAGATGACTTTTGAAACAGCTCATTTAAAACCTTAAAAACAAAAAAAGGAAAGTGTCCCTTTTTTATTACTGAGAATATAACAATGGAGCAAGAGAAAAAACACATTCTCAAAATGAGGAATTATAAAGGAGGACGACTTATTTCACCGAGCAAATTCAGAGTCCAAAGCACCCTGCTAAACGCTATGTAGATACTTTCCCTGCCCCCTAAATGGTCATCCTTAAATGAAGTCATTAATTTCCCACTAACAAGACACAACATTATCTGATGCGTTTGACTGGCTCCTTAGAGGATGGTTTCTGTGATCACAAGCAGAGCTGCAAAACTTCTGCAATGGCAGCATCAAGCAGAGGGTCATCTCTGCTAATCAGTATCTACCAGGAGAGAGGGAAACTCTACAGGACTTGGCAACTTTGGAGATATGGGGAATGGGTGACAGAGAGAGGTAAAAATATATGACCATTCCTCCACAACCCTGGCTTCTGAAATTCACAACTAGAATGAATTGATATAATAATCCATTATACTACACAGCAAAAGTATCAGGTTTAAGTGGAACTATAAGTCATTCGCTTTTGCAAATATTGACTGTTAACTGTGAGGCATCCGAGTGGATATTTCCAGAGAAGGCAGAAGCACAGCAAAGAACAGCCCTCACGTTCACCAGCAGCATGCATGAACTCTGTAGCTTTAAACATTGAGAAAATACTCTTATAGCATATTCTTTGTAAAGATAACAAAGTTGCAAGTAAAGAAAAATACAATTAAGAAAAAATGAATTTACTAGAAAATTAAACACATTTATATATAAATTTTAACACTTAAGTGTACTATAGAGACAAAGTTAGGGCTGTACCACCACCAAGCAGAGTGGCCTCTAACACACCTGTTAATATAACCAGGTCTCAGAATCCTAATCTTTAAAATAGGAACTCCATGCTAGATGATCTGTAAGCATTGCCTCTCATTGATCAAATACTCTTTATTCTTAGATCAATTCCAACTTTTTATATTCTTATTTTTTTCCCCATTCAGGTGGTTAACAGAATATTTTAACCAGACTATAATTCAGATCTACGTTCAAAATATATGTAAAGATCATCTCTAAATGATTTAAAACACATTAGGTAACTGTGAAACTGGAAACACAATAATTTGCTTAATTTAACAAAAAATTTTGAGTGTCTGCTATGTGCCAACACAAATCCCTACTAGGCAACAGGGCCAAGGCAATGACAGAACCAAGTCCCTGTTGTCATGGAGCTTACATGTGAGTGGGGAAGGCAAACAGTAAACAAGTAAAATACAGATTATGTCAGATATGAATTTTATGAAGGAATCTAAAACAGGGTGAGGGGCAAGAGAACAATGGAGGAAGGAGGATCATAGCAGAACTCCAATGCAGGACCCAACTGCAGCGAGGGAGCAAGCCGTGGATTTGAGGAGAAGAGCATTCAAAAGTCCTGACACATAAACACGCTTCACACCCTCACAGAGCAACGAGGAGGCCAGTGAGATCTGACTGGAGGACGTGGGAGAACAGCATGAGATAAGGTCAGGCAGGAAAGCAGGGTCAACAACAGAGAACCTTCTGGCACATGGCAAAGTCTCAAAGTTTTATTCTGGTGAGACTTTTCTATACCTCTGAAGAGAGTACTGCAATTCAATGAGCCAAGTAAGAAAAAGAATCTTAATAAAGTTATTTACGACACAGTGAATCTTTAAGCTTCAAGAGAAATGACACATCACAGAGTCTTTCTTTGGGCTACATTACTCAAGAGCATACGTCTGGTTAGTGACTCCACATTGCTTTTCTAATATTGCCAGTTACTTCTTTAATATCACAGTTATTCTTCACAAAAGCAAAGAAAAGGGTGAGGGAAAATATCTCCATGTTTCAATTAAAACATACATCTGGCATTATACTCTAAATCTGTAGGATAACAATAAATTGTTACAATTTTCTGAGAAAAATAAATTTACCTGGTAAAGGTTTAAGAAAAAATTCCTTATCTTTAAGGTGCACACGTATTTCCATAAAGCACACTCAATATGTGGAACTGATACAGTTCCAAAGGGCTGACTAATGCAAAATGAAAACACTGAGAATGTTTATTTCCTACAGACTCCCATTGTAAGTATATACGGGAACCACGGGAAGAGACAAGAACCAGGGCCTGTGAAACCCAAGAGAGAAACCTAACAATAAAGGTCAGCAACAGTGAACTCAGTTCATAGCGTAAAGGCTCGACCTCCAGTCCCAGGTCAGCAGGCCTCGATGGCAACCGTGCCAGCAGCAAACATCTGCACAGTGCCTGCCACGTGCCAGGCACTGCCATGAGCGCTGAGAGTCCTCAGATCCATCTAGTCCTCAGGACAGTCTCATGAGGCAGGGGCCATCACCATTATCCTCATTTAGCAGGACACTGAGGCAAAATCAAACCGACTGCCCAGATCACACAGCCTGCAAGCAGCAAAGCCAGGACATGCACCAAGGCAGGCTGGGTCCAGACGACAGTCATCACTATTTTGAACTGCCTTTAGTCTACAAAGATTTAAAATTTCCATCACTATGAGCTTTAGATGGCATCTACCGACTGAAAATGCTGTATTTTATACTAACTGTATAATAGAGAAGGCATCTTTGGACTGAACAAATAAACAAGAACAGTTGACCTTTATTTGAAGAATTTAGGGAGCTCTGACAGAGATCCAATTTACAAAACTTTCCTCAGGCATTACAGTCTACAACTTCAGCAGGAAATTAATAGAATAGACTCTTGAAATGTTAAAAGGATAAGATCACTGATAAAAGTTCTACAAGTTATCATCTCAACCTGTATTTGCAAATACACTTAAGTTTGAAACCAAACCAAATCTTTCCTGCTTTGTGATATGAAATTTGATCTATTCCTGTCCTTAAACTATATTTATTACTGGAAATAAGCCTATTAACAAAATTTAGCAGTGTTTTAAGCAATTGAATAGGCATGTATGTTGAGGGGGAAAAACCCACATTTATCAGATTCCCATGGATACAGCGGAAAAATGGTCCCTCCAGTATAATCACACAATGAAAGACAGCACAATTCTTACCAGGACACCTTACAGGTAAAGATCTCATGTTGATACTGACACATCATGACTCCCACTATTCTAGTCTCTGTATTGCCCAGCCAGATGGTACCTCATTCTCTATGAAGAAATTCTACTCACTCCAACTAGCATTCTGTATGAGTTACTGAGGGCAGATTTACATCCCCCAAAAAAGTATTTATTGATAA